CAATTCGACATAGAGCATACCAGTATCCTCGGAAGGACCAAAAGCCGGCAAGCACGTGAGTTCATTGAAGCCTGGCATTCAAAGCAGAACTCGATCAATAAGCACTTGGACATTGAAGTCGCTTACGAGGCACTGCGAACCAGGCCCCTGAAACCGCACTGATGATGTTGTCTAGTCAGGCAACGAAACGTCTGCACAATAATCACTCAGCTCGGAGAACCGCTCAAAATACGCATCCACACCCCGAGCTACGCATATTCTCATTTATTTCGAATTGTATCGTCGCATGGTGAATAAAGTGTTGATCTGAGACGGACGCCTGTGAATTCTAGGTAAAGCGGTTTAGTGAAATAATGTCTTAGCCATGTTTGTCCATCACAGCCATTCAATATTCGGAAGTAACCGACTTTATGATATGTGTGGTAGGCTGGGATAGATACATCCGATTATGTTGAACTAGTCAGGCTAGACGACTTATTATATGAGTTTGTTCGTATGCACGAGCACATTCGCGCCTTGGATTTGAAAGCATACTTTGTGCATTGTTCCGTGATAGATGAATGGTCAGATGTCATTCTCCCAATACTTGTACCAGCAGATTCTCCCGAGGAGCTCATCACATCGAACACAATGATTGCAAATTGGAAGAATATGAATATAAATAAGCAAATAATTATTCTCGACGAAGCGAAGCATACAAGGTAAAACGAAAAGTTCTACAACGCATTCTTAAAATCAGGTGAGGTTCTTCGCAGCCAGTTTCCAAATCAGATAGTCATTCACATGGTCGGAAAAGCATCAGACTGCAGTTTCGGCCTTTTGGGCATCGTCAGTAGTGTGCATCCATCGGATCCATCAGCATTCGAACCCATGACCACCAGCCGCTTGAACCGCCAGTCAGCAGCTTATGCCACTGGGCCACGTGGGACAGCTTCGGACCGTTGTGATTTACAAGCTAACTGCGATATAGCGCGTCTTATCCTCCACTGCCATGCAAGTTATGAACGTTGCAGAGGACAGTGTTGGCCCCGAAAGACACGACGTCCACTAACAGTAGCAATGTACGACACAGGATTCCTAAAATTGCCTACTTTGCTCAGCTTAGTGACAAATCGCTGCCCGGGCACGTGCGCAGCATCACTAGGAGGAACTCGCTGGTACGCTAAGTGAATTGGCGAAGCATTCATGCGGAGCAATGCATTTCCAGGACACCGTAGACCCATGCCATTATCGATAAGCCGTGTAGTGTTATGACGCGACATTCGTTATAGATGCAGTGATGCGAAAACTATTGTTGGATGTACCGAAAGTGTAATTGGCGATCACATTAACATTGGATCTAGTGTACACAAGAGCCATGACCAATGTAGCCTTGAATGTACTGCTACACACTAATTTGTTGACTTTTTTGGTTCTTTTGGGTTAAAGAATGACAGGTTAGTGCAGGTTGCGGTTGATTATGAATGAGCAATGAACAATGAATTTATACAAGTCACGAAGCGTTGCTTTACAAGTCCCGTTGGATAGTTGGTGGGGATATCGACATAACAATAATGAGAATAATAACCATAGTAAAACAGTTAGTACTTGAAAGATGTAAATAAGGACTTAACGTTTGTTCCGCCGTAGTTCTGCAGTCCGCTTAGGTTCACAGCACCTGTAGTTAACATCAAATAAATGCATGAGAAACCCCAGGTGTAGGGTAGTCGTAGCGTTAAGTGACAGTGTACGTGGATGAGTGCGTCATCTAACCGTATTTTAAATACTTTTAGCGTCAGTGTAGAGACGACTGATTCTGGGAGAGGATTCCACGGGTGATTGACACGAATGGAAAAACAATTTCTGCGGCACTCCAGATGGCTATACAGTACAGTGAGTTTCAATGAGTGGTCCATTAAGGTTGTATTGGTGCTGAGTCGCAGTCAACGGCGGCACACATGATGTGGGTCTCGCAGAATCAAATGTGCTATAATTAGGTCGCCTCGTAGTCGGTGATCATCAACAACAGCAGTGCATCAGCCATTTGAACTCATGCTTCGCTACCATACAACCATGATGACCTATGAAATAAAGAATAATAAGAGGGAGAAAAGGGGGACTTGCCTAAAAAGCTTAACGCCCTAAGCAAATATTCAGGGTGAAAATGCCTACACCTTGTGTAGACAACATACGGTCAAAAACAGCTGGCTATCGTGCAAAGATAAGGCGGCATCGGCGAGACAGCTTCGTTGCGGCTTTCACTACCGCACGTCATAATCAGCCATTAGCCCGCAGATAACTCAGCACCAAACAATTGTCTTAGAGTACGAAGGTTGAACGTCCCCATGGAAACGGGGCAGCGTAGCCTTATAAGGAACTGTTGCCGATAGGCGTCCAGTACATGTTGCGAGGTGGCTACAGTTGGTTCTATTCCAGTGGCATTTCGGTTGCTGTCAATTAAGCTGAGAATTATAGAAGGAAGGTTAGTAATGGGAGTCGGGATGGGAGTAAGAGAAAAAGGTGGAAAAGAAAGAAGGGAGGTGTCAGCAGTAGCATATTTTCGCTTAGTCGTCCTGCTGTATGCAGCCGATAAGGCGACCCTTGATAATCTGTGCGATGGCCGATGCAGGATGAAGTTTATTTTTGAAGAAAAAGTCATGGTTGTATGCGGGCTGCGATAGTGCCAGGGAGACCAGACCTAGACAGGAGGACGATTAGGGTCCTCATCCAAAGCATTTGGCTCAAGGGCCTGTCCGCAAAGAAGCGGGGAGGTGGCAGTGATGTAGTAGTACAGAAATGGACGCCATCCCATTTCAAACCCCCAAACCTGGAGGACCAGGAGACTGAGTTTGTCTGACCACTAACCATTGACCAACGTGGTAGGAGTAGCTCTTAAGCAGCCCGGAAACATCACCCAGTATAGCTCAATGGGTCAGGAAAGTACGCAAACCGTCGCAACAAGTTAAGGTCCGGTCTCGTTGCGACGGGTAGTCGGTGATAGCTTCCACTAAATACCCTCATTCGTTGCAGCCTCTCCTGGTATGAAAGATTGCGCATTCCAATTACCTTCTTAGATGCCTGACGTTGTGGCTGCTCAAGTGCATTAAGGTCGTGTTTCAGCCATGGATGCCAGGCTTCAATTATGTATTCGACATGGGGACAAGCATTTGTCGAAATATAGAGCGTTGAGGAATATGTACTAGATGCCAGAAAGTTGTGTGGATAAGTCGTGCAACAAGGAGGGGTGGTCCAGACCAATTTGTTGTTTGATAATTCGGCTATTATCGATTGGCAGTTCCCCGGCCTTAGTGCGCTCTATACCTGAAAAACCAGGAATTTGAAAACTGAGACCACGGTCAACACTATGATCACCGTTGGTTTTCTATGTCGCACAGTAGGCGTTGCGATAGAACACCTAGTCAGAGTTACTTGATGGTACAACTCCCAGAAATCGGCTGTCGAGTTCTACCTTGACAACTGTGCTTGGAGCAGTTGTTGTGCTTCTTATGTTGATTTGCGTGCTGTATCCATGCGTGTGTTCTCGTTTCCGGCGTTTTCAGTACCAGACTGATGGATCGTCGCGAAGCTGTGCGATTCAGGTTAATCATCATATCTTTTAACCGAACATGCTCATTGATAAATCGTTGTCTGTGCAATGGACGATATGCCGACTTTTTATTTGAAAAGTTAACAGTGATCGGAGAACGGTGATTCGGTGATTTCCTTTTAAGACCTATACCTTTACCGAAGATCTCAGGCAACTTACAAACACCATTTACTGTGTTCAAATTGAACCTGTCCGGAATCACAAAACAACCTTTCCTACCTGCTTCTTTCGCGTACCTCTGACGCCATAGAGTCAACTAGTAGTCCTTCCCACTACAGCTGAAGAGGATCAAGCTCCTCCGAGGAGGATGTGACGCCTTCAAGTGAAAATTTCGGCGATTCAAAGAGAGCTAATCATTTGCCATCTCGTCGGACTCTAAATGCAAAGAAAAGACATTAAAGGTAAGTTCGGAATGGGGTTTAAAGCTTGATGAAAAACAGCCTGATGGATCAATTAGGGCATATTTTAATCTCCTTGCTCGCGTTGCAGAGGATACGATCCCCTTTGTCTGGAGAGTGCGGTTGAAGTTTGGTGGGATCATAGCAACTTGTGCGTAACGGGGACCATATTAATTATGTATCTGGGGATTAGGAACGCGATGAAATCCAACCAGTTTTACTTGACACTGTTGCAAATTTTAACGCTGGGTCGTCGTGAATTTCATCTACTAAATCAAGTGATTAGCCGCATGAGTTGTAATCCTGCTGGATGCTCAGAGAGTTAGATGCGATAGCACGGTATTGAATGAGAAGGTAGGAGTATATCGATCAGTGCGAAAATATTAAAATCGGTGGTGTAAGCATATATGCCCAGTAAGCAGTTGCAAGGTGAACGTAACTGCCGCAAACAATGTCAGCTGGGCAAATTGGAGTGCCTTGGGTGCATCTGACAGAATAAGAGTAGATGATCGGATTTATGCCCGGAAATTAAGGTGGTTACGTCCGTGAGTCTCAGAAAAAGACTCACCTGAAAATGACAAGGCGAATACGTTGAGTAGATGAGAGCTGGAAAATCTGAGTCCAAGGAGTGTGAATTGGTCAGCGTTACATCCGATGGCAAAGAGGATGCATAATCGAACTTCATAGAGTCTGGGTGATATGAGCGTAAGCTTGTCAAGACAGCGCTGGATGTATGGTAAAACTATGCGAACTAGCGCAGGTCGCAGAATTTATACCATGAAGCACTCATTAACAGATGACCATTTGTAAAACAAAACAGGTTATGTATATACGCCCAGCAACTTCTAAGTTGCCTTGGTCATCATGAGGTACAACTGCTAAGGAAAGTGACTGCATCAACCGAAGAAGCTGAATTCTAGTTGATATAGAGTAGGTAACAGTCAACACCTGAAATTATAGACGTCGCTCTATGAAAGTGCATCAATGTCAAGTCAAAATAAACTTCATATGTATATTGGCTGTACCCACGGACGCCGCGGAATTTTCTGCTACCACGCGCTGGATCCTGCTTTTTCTCTGGAATTACTGTATTTTACGTGTGTTGCTGTGTTAGTTGTGCACCAAACTTTTTAGTTTCGTGTGTTCATCAATCCGTGAAAGTTTCGTGGAATTCCGCTTGATATCTTCGGAGATCTCAGTGATTTACTGCTGTGCCCGTCATTTTGGAATTTGTGATCGACATCTTGCTTGTCCTCGTGCTTGAAAAAATACAACAACTATGCCGAATATCATGCAACGACGTATCTGCTCTTCAACTAATTGCGGCAAAGCCCTTAAAATGGGTATAACGTGCCGAAACTGCAGTGGCTCGTTCCACCCGAGCTGTATAGGAAAGTCCGCCCAAGAAGCAAGGCAAATAAACAAGGCTACTGACGCATTTTGGTTTTGTCCAACTTGCCAGTTAACTCCAGTGGTCGGTTGTTTATGTGCACTCATGGAAAGGTGCGATACTTTGAATGCGACAATCGCTTATTTGTTGAACGCCAGGCTTGCACCACCGGCCGCGAATATGGCCATGATTGTACCACAGTCGGTCAAAGAAAGCTCCACCTCGAGGCCGAAAAAAAGGGCTAGACGCTCAAGTCGCGCTGCAGCCTCAGTTTCTCCAAATCCCTTGCCTCACTCAACTCCCAAAAGCGGACGAACATCCAGAGTACTGATGTCCACACCTTTGAGTCACACGCCCCACCTCCATTCAACAGCAACCGCGGAAGCTCCGGGGCAAACCTCTTCCGCCGTAGAGAAAAGTCGGGCGTCGTACGCCTCAGTCGCCTCAATGCATACACCGGCTAAATTACCTCCGACTCCGGTGGCCTCACCAAGCAACAGTAAGTTGACCAGACTCCAACAACCAAACAATCCGTTTAACACCGTGTCTTTAAGTCATGGCAAATCTGCATCCAACGCAAGGAGCCAAGGCGCGTTAACCGTTGTGTGTACAAATGTTCCTGAATCACAGGCGAGTACAATAAAGGGGAAGCTGTTGGATGATCGTAATCAGTGGAAGTCTATATGTACTGCGATTGGCATTTCGGTTGAACCTGCAATGCTGAGACGAGTCACACGTCATCCAAATTCAGCGCACTACGGTGAACCCCGACTTCTCCGGGTGACACTAAACTCCATCAAGGACACAGAGGCAGTTCTACTATCGTCCAACAGGCTTTGTCATTCATCACTCGAGGCGCGTATACTTCCTGATATCCCCTGGAACGAACGTCCGAAAAAGATGAGCAACCGTGAAGAAGTTCGTAAAGCCGAGGCGAAACGGACGATAATTGTGTACGGGGTTCCTGAGCTCCAAAATTCAACCTCTGATGCAGCGGATGCACATGACCGGGAGCAATGGAGTTACATCCGCCACGAAATCTCCCTCAATAATATCATCGCTAAGCGGTTGACCAGGATTCCATTTTCACCCAACTACAAAGGGAACGGTCCCAGACTTATGAAGGTGGTGCTTCAATCTGAGTTTATGTTACCGCTCGCCTTGGAAAACTGGTCCAAATTCCGCATGAAGCTGCCAGCTGAAATTCGGTTAAAGGCATCAGGTACGCTGCCACGGATTACCAACGACTCACGGGGAGCGATCAAATTGTTGAACCATCCACTCATGCAACTTTGTGAAGGCATGGATTTATCAACAACCGCAATATCCCACGAAACACGGCTGAACACGGGGGACCAGCAGGGCCCGGAAGGCCGCGATCAGTCGTCTAACCGAAAGCAAACTCAAAGGCAAACGTCACCACAAAAAAACGGTTAATGGCCGACCCGTTAACGGTCGGCACAAACTCCATTTCTACCACAACCTGTGCTAGCTCACTCTTGGTTACAAAAGCACTATCCTGCATGTATACTAATGCACAAGGCCTCATAAGTAAGTTGGTAGAACTCCGTCACCGTTTGGCTTCGGAGCCTCGAGACATCATAATGATCACCGAAACCTGGCTGAGCGGCGAAATCACAGACGCTGAGATTGCCATACCGGGTATGTCACTTCTCCGGAACGACAGAACGGGCAAGGGCGGTGGCGTGCTCATTTATTTCCGAACGAACCTTCGTTGTGAGCTCATAGACGATCCCCAGACTTGTGTCACCGACGTCCTTTGGTGCAAACTGTGGTTGGAACGCAACGACGTATGCCTTCTCTCTGTGGTTTACCGACCACCGAAATCCACTCCGGAAAGGGACAACAGACTTATCTCCGCTTTTCGCTCCGTGCTTAATCAGAAGTACAGCCACATCCTCGTTGCAGGAGATTTCAACACCCATGACTTGGAAAATCCAGCATCCGAGACAGAGGTGTTCAAGGCATATTTGCAAGAGCTACTCTCTAGCACCTTCTTGTATAACCACGTCACCGTTCCAACCAGGTTCAGAACAGGAAACAACCCATCGATATTAGATCTAGTGCTCACTAACGAAGAGCTCATGGTCGATGGACTAAAGGTGTGCAGTCCTTTGGGCCGTAGCGATCACGTGACTTTGCAGTTCGATTACATCTGCTACGCCAAATATCCAGCTGCGGAGCTCGAAACGAGGCAATCTGTTATCCATTACCACGTTCTGTCTGCCTTAGTTGAGAATACCAGTTGGACGTTTCTAGCTAACTGCACCCCAGAACTAGCCTGGGAGACATTTGCGAACACCATCACGTCACTAGTCATAGAAGCCTCAACACCAAAAGTTTCCCAACATCCCCGCACAGCGAAATCATTCTTGCGAAGTCGGACGCGAAAATGCATGACTCTAAGGGATCGGGCATGGCGCACGTATAAAAGCAACCCCAGCGCAGAAAACTGGACGGAATACGTTTCGCATCGCAACTACTGTGTGCTTTTGGTTCGCGAAGACAAGAGAACGCATCAGCAGGAGCTAGCCAAACGATTCTGTTCGAACAAAAAGCTTCTTTACAAACATGTGAATGGACTTCGCAAGGTGCAACGGGGAATCCCACCACTTAATACGACCAATGGGTATACACATACTGCGAAAGAGGCGGCCAACGCATTACGGGCCCAGTACTCCCCAATCTTCCAAGGTGTACAAGCCTCGACGTATATTCCGCCACTAGTTACCCCACCGCCCGTTTTATCCAACGTCACGTTCACTGCAGAAATGGTGCTGCAAAAGCTGCTATCCTTGCGTCCACACAGCTCTCCCGGGGCCGATAACATTCACCCGAAAACATTACAGGTAGCTGCCATCCACTTGGCCGAACCACTAGCTGCATTTTTTCAGCGCTGTTTCGATGAGAACATCGTACCTTCGAGGTGGAAACAAGGTGTAATAACGCCCATATACAAAGCAGGAAGTCGATCGGATCCTGTCAATTACCGCCCCGTAACGCTTCTGCCTGTGATCGCCAAAGTCATGGAAGCGGTGATAGCAGATGCGTTAATGGGATACTTGGAAAACTACGGCATAATTGCGCCAGAACAGCATGGGTTTCGTCAACATCGTTCATGTACGACGAATCTGCTGATAGCTCGTGACAACTGGACCGAGACTGTCGATGAGGGAACAGGAGTCGATGTTGCATTCTTGGACTTTTCGAAAGCCTTCGATCGCCTGGATCATCGAATCCTGCTCATTAAACTCCAACAGTACGGTATCGGAGACCCGTTGTTAGGATGGATCGGTAACTTTCTCTCTGAACGGCAGTTAGTAGTTAGAGTTCGATCATCCTTTTCCGATCCGATTCGAGTGGGATGCGGCGTACCGCAGGGTTCGGTACTTGGGCCTCGTTTGTTCCTGCTTTTCATTAACGATCTAGTAAGAGTTATTACGTCGAAATTCTTACTCTTCGCGGACGACCTCAAGGTTTGGCGGGCGATAAAACGATCGGACGACCATGAAGTCCTACAGCGTGACTTGAATGAGGCCTGGAATTGGTCGGTGAGAAACGCCCTGCCGTTTAATGTGGACAAATGTCGCGTTGTTCATATCCGCCATCGACAAGTCCACGTCTACAAGCTTGGGGCACACGATCTGAAGACCACCACTCAGGAACGCGACTTGGGTGTGCTGGTACAGGAAGACCTCGGGTGTTCCAAACAGTCAGATTCCGCTTCTAAAAGGGGCAACCAGCACGTTGGACTCCTGCGAAGAGCATTCGGAATTTTGGATCCATCCATCTTCTCTTTGATGCTGAATGCCTACGTGCGTCCTCACGTCGAATATGCAATCCAGGCCTGGCAACCCTGGCTAAAACGTGACCTTGCAGCGCTTGAGACCCCACAGCGTCGAGCAACGAAAATCGTCAAGGGCTTGCGCCACACTCCTTACCAGGAACGACTGGAGATACTCGGAGTGTTCAGCGGACGGTACCGGCGACTTCGTGGAGACCTCATACTAGTGTACCAGATATTGAGCGATCCCAGTCACGTATGCCGCCACCTCTTGAAGCTCAGCCCGAACACTAACCTTCGCGGTAACAGTTTAAAGCTGAGCCAACAGTACAGTCGTCTAGACTGTCGGAAAACCTATTTCTCCCTCCGGGTCTGCGGGCCCTGGAACGCCCTTCCAAACTCAGTAGTTTGTGCCCCCACATTAGATACGTTTAAAAAACGATTGGACGTCGCACTGAGCGCCCTGCGCTTTGTTTTATGAACGAAAACGCTTGTATATATTTAGGCTGACCAGCCTCTTTGGATTTTTACCCCAAATTCACGGTCGTAAATCTGTGCGAACCGGTGAGTACTCCATTTTTATTTGCTACCATCACCAACGATAACAATTTCTTAGCCAGTTTTGCGTCGTACCACTTTATCCCCCTAAAACTGTTATACTTCTACCTTTTATCTCACTGACACTCCTTACTTCAACCACTTATGTGGTTTGCCAATTTGTTAGTATTTCTATTGCCAACCTGCGGGACTCGTTAAGTGTATGCTTTTTTACCCGTCATATACCATTGTTCCATTGTTCATATATCTAGATGGGTACATTTTCAGCACTTTACAATAATGACCACAGATAAGCTAAATTTACAGTATCATAAGTAAATTTGTAGGAATGCACAGAAGGACACTGTGCAGAAGTATCACTTGAATAAACGATCGGTGTAAAAGAGCAACAATTAAACAGTTCCGGACAAAATAATTTAAAGCCAGCGTCGCTAGTTAGATTTGCAATCAGGGACCGTCCATTATCATGTTCGCAGTATCATGAATTTTTCTCAAAGAGTACGCGAAAGAAAACAGCAGTGATCTTGGAAATAGCTTGACAAATATCGATGTTGAAATATTTTGAAAAAACTGATGTATTCATAGCGATATTGCACAAAGGATGTCCAGTGACAACGGCACGGCCGATTTAAAGGCCCCACCAGAAATCCAAAGCCTTCACGTTTACTTTCTCATGCATATAAATCAAGTGAGACCCCACTGGAGTTACGCTTTCCAGATAAGGTAGACAAAGCTCCCATCAACATCATAATAACCATGACGCATATCCCATCTTGAACAAAGGGGCGGATTGATTGTAGACAAACAGTCACTTATGCTATATACAATGCTGAGGAACCACACAAGAAAGAATTCCCCATGGAATGATTGGATGGGTAATTTGAAGCGCTCGTTATGAATGAATTGCGACACGCAAACCCCAATGCAGACCACGGCTCGCATTAAAGTGAACCTAGGTCAACTCGATCATTGAGACCGTAAATAGTGAAGTAAATGGATATTCGGTGTCGTTCATCTGAAAACCCAGCACATCATGTAGATGGCGCGTCGTAAACCATTCACATAAGTGCTTTAAAATGACCCATGTAAGCAGTCGTTATTTGTTGTGACAACCGTTGCCCTCATGATCCCGGGGTCGGTACTACCCATATTTACTAGTGATAAGATCGAAGAAATTCTAGTGCAGTGTGTTCAGATAGATTACATGCAATAGCCATTTGCTTCCCATGGAATGCGTCTAGAAACTAGTATGACCGATCAACTAAAATATGTTTCGCAGTTCGAAAAAGCATATCATGGTAAAATGCACAAAAGGAGAGGGACACTTAGCATTGTGATTTCCAAGTAGGAGCATGTACAAGCCGTGTACACGGAATCCGCCATCGTCGTAAGCATTATTGAAAGATGCAAAATGTCGGTAGCAAATAGTTTTGTCTAACTAGCGACTTCGTTAGCATGTTTGTCGACGTATCGACTGCGGACTGAAGACAGTGGGACACATATAGTTCCGGATGTTCCATGGGGCGAACGTCAGCGGGACAAATATAATTCAAATGGCTACCACAAGGACGGTAGTAGAAGATTCGTTCATGGCGTGCCCGAACTACCGGCGACTAGTGGCGAAGAAGCTCATGACCTGAAAGAATAGCAGTACATCCGTGAAGCTCTCTGTGCTAGCGACGTTATACTTCAGCCGATTACACGGTTATCCGTGCCGCCTCACTACAAAGGCAGTGGCCCGAGGATGGTGAAGCTAGTGGTAAGGCCGAGACCGATGGCAGTGAACTTAATGCGCAGTTGGCAGATAGTACGTGACACCCTTCGGAACTACGACTGAAGACAACAGTTAGAGAACCGTAGCCACTCGACTCAGTATCACCGTAACAGTGAGTAAGAAAACTGTGCTCTAAGGCCAGTAGCTATGCAAAAACTAAAGATGGGCCACATACTGATGGTGCACGTGAGATCATAGCCAGACTGCATTCAGATCAAGATTTTGTAAGTTACCTACAAAACCGTTAGATGCCGGTCCATAATCGATTAGCACAAATCCATATACTCCATATTTTCCTAGTCAATAGTTGCTGACATCTAAGAAGCTCTTCTGTTTGTACACTAATGCTGGAGGCTTACTGATTAGACTTTCCGAACTGTGACTTCATCAAGAATCAAAGGCCTGTGACGTGGCTATAAAGGAGATATGCTTACGTTACAACATAACTGAAATCGACTGACCCAGCAGGTGTAGGGATGTCTCTGTATTTCCGCAGTGACCACCAATGTGAGCCCATAGAGGATTCGATCAACACGGTACAGCATCCCCTTTGGTGATGTGTCCATGTTTAAAAGGCGACGAATCCTCCCTCCTCCACGCCTGAAATGGATTTATATCTGGCATCCGCACTAAGGCTGGTGATACACAACGCACACAGGCACATTCTTATTACTGGCGATTTCAACATCCACGCTTTGGAATCCCAACCGATACTGGAGAACAGTTTAAGGCGGAGGTACAAGAGTTTGTCTCCAGTTTCCCGATGCATGGACACATCACTCCCACCAGAAACAGAGAAATTGATAGGCCATCTATACTGAATCTGATATTCATTAATGGAAAACTGATGATCGAGAGGGTATTCGTCGACGTCCTACGTAGTCCTAGTTTTCGAATACATTTGCTATGTAGGATGTCCGGTGGAATTTGCTGACGCGACAAAATCGATTATACGCTACGACGAATTAGCTCGACTAGGCGAGACAGCCAACTGTGCCCTTCTGGCAGATGAGCCACCAGTTAGTTCGTAGGAACATTTCGTCAGTCAGATTAACACCCTAATTGTTGAAGCATCAGCGACTAAGACGTTCCGCGCAAGAAACGTGGTCTCATTTCTGAGAAACTGGACACGCAAGTGTGTGGCGGTGCAAGACTCAGCCTGGCATATGTACAAACTCGCTCCCTGCATCGTGATATGGAAAGCCTGTGCGACCCAACGTAACCACTGTACTCAGCTTGTTCGCGAGAAGAGAATGGCGTACCAGTAGAAGTTGGCACTGAGCATGGCCACAAATCACAAGCTTCTGTATCAACACGACAACAGTGAAGAGAGATTTCTCCTCTTAAAAGAGCGGACGGACTTCGAAAGAGGCGGTGGATAATATACGCCTGCAATATTCCATTGCGATCACTGACTACCAAACCCTACGACAAGGGGACTCACCCACCCCCGAAAATTAACCCGTATGCATAAGCGCGGCTCTCTTGGAGTTGATAACATTCGCCTGAAGTGACTTGCGGCCGTAGGAGAGAGCTTAGCTCGTCTTTCAACACCGTTTTGAAGAAGTGTACAGGCCCGACATGTGAAAATACGGGGGGATTACTCCAATTCACAAGGTAGTCGTTCCGATCTAGCCAACTACCGTCCCGTAATCCTACAACCGATATTTTCAAAAGTCATTGATGCTCCAACGGCATATTTTGAAAAATTTCACTACCTTGCACCAGAGCAACATGATTTCCGACGAAATTCATCGTGCAATACAAATCTACTACTAGCACAACAAAGCTGGGTCCGAGTTCATGTACCTTTTCTCCACTTCTCAAAGGCTTTCGAACGGTTAGACCATGACATTCCGTTCTCCAGACCTTTGGTATTGGTGAGCCTCTCCTGGGATAAATCAAAGTCTTTCTCCTACACCAGCGCTTAGAGGTACGAGTGCGTGAATCCGTCAGATCAAATCCAAGTTGAATGTGGAGTACCACAGGGATTGGTACTGAGACCACGGTAATTGTTGACGCATATCAAGATATCACATGCACCTTAAACTAGAACTAGGCCGATGACATCAAGGTGTAGAGGGTGATCAATAGACCAGATGAAAACTATTACTACTCGTGGAACGCAGTATTCGACCCGTAGCGCACGACAGCAGAACACGTCAGTTTCAGCAGTACACAAAAGGTATTGTCTCGCATAGGTTAACAGTTCATTCAATGGTTAGGTTGACGTTAAACTGACACGCACACTGACGCTGATGGATCCAGGCAACAGGAAGCAAATGAACTCAGACTGCCTTCAGAGAGATCGACTAAACAAGTGAACTCAGCTGGCGAAGACGCCACAATATCACTGTACTTTAGATTGAGATGGACAGGGTTTACGTGGTCAATCCAGAAGCTATTTCGATTCAATGTGGGCAAATGCAGAGCGCTGCATTCACGGCACCTGATAGCGTGCACCTACAAACTCAGCAACCAGCAGCTTCAAACGTCTTCCGGCGAAAAGCACTTGGGAGTTTTGATCCAGAACGATCTTGGGTGTTCCAAACAGGCTGAAACGGCATAAAGAAGGGCCATCCAATAAGAGGCCCTCCCGAAGGGTGATAGACAATTCAACCCATCAATTTTTCAACAGTTTTTCGGCTCATACATACGTCCACATCTGGAATACGCAATTCAGGTCTGCCAGATATGGCTGAGGAAAGATCTCACCGCGTTGAAGATATGACAACGCCGAGCAACCAAGAATATTAGTGATTTGTATCAGTTACCGCATGAACAAAGGCTCCGAGTACTCAGGATCTTCAGCGGACGATATTGGCGAATGCGTGGAGACCACATCTGGACTTACAAAATGTTGAAGGATCTCAATCACATATGTTACCATTTGGTAGAGCTCAGTCCCAACAATAATTTGAGAGACCATCACCTTATGCTGACAATGCGATACAATCCTTTGGAACGCCGTCGGAATATTTCTTTTCCGTACGCGTTTGCAATGCGTGTAACGCCCTATTCGAATATGTCATCGGTGCTCCGACGCTGGTAGCGTTCGAAGCCCGAGTTGATCGTGCACTCATTTCGCTACACCATCTCACATAATCCATTGCTTATGACTAAATACGAGTGTCTGTTAGAGATTTCATTGCCGGTCAACTCACAGAACAAGTTCCAAATGTTTCACCTCCTCTATATTTTCACAAGGAGGCAGCACAATGTCAAATTTGTCATCAGTACTTATAAAAATACTGTCGATTTACAGTGTTTGATAACTGGACTTCCGTGAATCCACTGGTGTGAACACATTTTTTATGACATCTTTTCATCATGATCATCGTATGGGAGCTGTTAAGCTTCAGCTTATTTTTATCCGTATAAAACCATTGTTTCAATACAACGCATTGTGAGAGTGCTGTTCGCTCCAAACTAATTACAGATGACAAATAAAGCTATGTGACTGTGGAACGCTTAACAACAGGTCTCATCTCAATTTAACCCATTGAAAGTGTTAACAGATTCAAGGCAGCTACCTCACAGATACCGGTAGGGAACACCTAAGCATGCGAACCCATGTGCGTTTCAAGTAATGAACGATATGATAGAAAAAGCAGAGGCAAAATATTTGGCTCTGAAATAGTCGTATGTACAGCAGGAAGTGATAGGTGAGCAAATGTACATTTGTTCAGCGTCGGAAAAGCCGGAACAGTGGATGCCTTTCTTTCATTTTGTTTCTGCGTACAGCAGCCGAACTCGTATCCACGTAAATTGCGTCATCTGCACCAGACAAACTGGCCATGCGGCTAGGTTTGCGAGTTGCAGAATCAGCTGGCACAGTGCGTTTCGTTAAGGTGACATCGTCAGGATCTGCTGGCAATCGCTCCTCCATTGCGTCTTCCTCGGTACTCGCTAATACGCGATGAAGAAGTTCCGCTTGCTCTTGCTTAGTGCTCAACCTGAGTGTCTCGTGCTCCATCCCCGAAAGACGAGTGATCACCTGAAAAGCAAAGAGGAGGAAGTAAGAGGATGTTTATTCGTGTCATGCGAAAGACATTGTCACGGCAAGGTGATGAAAGCTGGGTTGAGAATTAAAGGATCCACACCTGTACAGATAGATTGTATTGTATGTAGTGTGTTTAACACTTGCCCGATAAACATTTTGCAGAGTGCCACAACACATGAGTAACAATAACAAAAAAGGGAGAATGAGTAAGAGGAATGGAAGCAAAGTTGCATGTGTTGTGTGGGCATTGAGGTTCCTGGTTGCTAAGGGTTGACTTAAGGGACCCCACCCCGAATCTTTGGTCTAAAGACCTGACCTACAAGACAGCGGGGTGATTCACGAAGACCGCTGACAGTCAAATAGCTCATTCGCCTTCTTTGTGTTCGGAAGCAGTCCACAGAGAAGCCGGTGGCTAGCGAGGTTGTTCATCCGTCCTCCGTTAGATACTCACCCCCAGTTACAGGAGTTAGTGGTCAGTGACCCTACAGCCGGTCACATAGGCTTTGACACAACGGTATTTAATGGAGAACCAGGTGACCAGCCCAGAGCTCCCCACGCTGTGAGACGCTGCCGCTGATTGTCCGTGACTGCTTATTCATCTCGCCTGCAAAGCAAACGAGACTTATTCGCAGTTACCTCCACAAGGAAGGCATTCCCCGATCCACAACCTGGGGACGCGCCCGATAGTGTACAGCACCGCAGATAGATAGGATCAGTTCAACAGATTGAATGAGGAGGAGACAGGAGATTGAGGCAAACAAAGTTGCTAGGCGAAAGAACACAAGATGAGGGGTGTGAAGTGTGGCACGCACCTAATAACGTCGATGGTTATGCATGGACGAAAGAAAGTCGCACTTCACAAGGATACATGAGAAGAAGATTTGCTAAAAATGAATACGAGCCAGTCTAGCTATCGTATAGGAAATAGTAGCGATGTACGAACATTTGGTATCTAGCGCAGTACACGACATACGGCAAGAAAGCGGATCCAAGTTCCAAGCGGGTATGCTGGATGCGCATGTCTAAAAGCAGGTTGACTTTAGCTAGTTGCATTTGCTGCAATTCCAATAAGGAATATCACGTCAATGTAGAAATAACATCGCTCCAAGTTAAGCAAGATCACCGAGGAGAACAAATCGGATCCAAGCATGATCCTATGAACAAACATTGTGACCTGTTCTTGATATCAGAAGTCCATCTGTGAAGTCGGTTAAGGTTGGTACTCCCAACAAATCATGCACCTGGTGATCCATGTACAAGTAGAGGACCATTGGGTTAGAACAAAAGCGCTTGCGATATAGTGCCAAGCTTCAACTGTAAGATGCACTTGATGAACACCGGTCACTTGGTAAACCCGGGTGCATCATTCAGTACTCATGCGCAGTCAAAGGGAACACATACATAAGCCCCTTAAGGTCAAAATTATCGATTGACAACGCCCACCACTCTATGCCCAAAAACAGCTGATTGTGACACCAAGCCTATCGTGGTAGCGTGCAACATGTCGATTCGAAAACAGTTGACTACCAATCGATTTCGTGTGAACTTAATTTGTACCTACGTGTCCGAAGATTATGCACGAAAAGACAGTGCCGTCTCACAATCTTGGTCATTGGATGTTATTATGTGGAGTAATAAAGGGAATTTCATGTCAGAAAACTGATGCTGAACCAAAATGACCACGTTGTAGTCAAGCGTAGATGGTGTAAGTCCATTCGAGATTGTTGGCCGATCTGAGGCACGCACGTGGCACCCGGGCATACATAAAGGGGCAAAGGCGTGACATACTCAGCTACCCAACTGCTGTGAAACCGGAAACATCTATTTGGATCAAGCCATCATCCAAATTTGAGATGATTGGTTGCATCCGGTTCCGGATAGGCGTGTCACTGCGGCCTCCATAGGACAGCCACAGGATGCCTGCGCCCAAAGAGAGAACATGGGTGGCTTGCGTAGCAACATCTACAGTTCCATCCACACACCCAATATCCGGTGTAAACTTGAAGGAGTAAGACAGGGTAGCATTTGGATAGGTGCCGCGTTTTATCGACGTAGTCGGCCCACCCTCCCAGAACAGGCACAGCAGCAGCACTTCTACCTAGTTTCTGAATCATGCGTACCAGAGGTACACAAGGCGATGGCTGGATAGTAGCCCGTTGCACAATAGATGCATGGAACCACTCTTGGAGTCTAGCATCGTCACGAGGACGGTACACCCTGTCCCCTCCAACAAAGACCAACTGTCTCCTTGAGCCAGTTTAGACGAAGTGGAGGGTGTTGGATAGGTAGGCAGCTAGTCAACATTCGCATTAACCGCAGCCACGTCTGGAATTTCAAGCAACAGTTAAAACCTGAAATTCAATAAACTGAACACGCAGTCACATGTGCGGACTAACTGCAACGACCATGCAGCACACGTACCATATCGAGTGCCTGATTGGTCTGGGTTAGTGAATCGAATGGATGCGGTGGCAGTGCACCTACCAATCGCGGCGCTGAGTGTGTTTGGATAATAAATTGACTCGTCGTCTTTTAGATCCTGGCCTAACGTAGTCATCCAGGCCCGCTTGGCTCAGCCATTCGCGGCCGCCTGTGTCACACCAGCATGCGCTTGACGTTGATGGACTATGCTCCATCGGCGCCTGTATCTTCGATATCCGGTGTTCGTCCCCGCTGCACTTGGACAACCGCCCATTTGATCAGCTCACACCATTCCCGCCGACCAACGGCCTTTGGTACCCAACATTTGGGATCAAGATTAGTTCGTGATAAACTCACGCTGGTTGCGTAATTTCGGTCTGCCAGCGTGCCGCTTCCCCTCACTAAGTTGGCCATACAAAAGCTGCTTAGTTATTCTGGTCGGATTCATTCGGTTTATATACCTCGGCCATCTCAGTTGCCGCAGCGGAAGTATGCAGCTCATTGCATACATGTCACTGCGGCGAGGCACTTTCGTAATTACAACACGGTCGCACCAACCGATGCGGGGAATCCGTCAATATTGATGAAACCGTTCCAAATACCTGACGTACTTTCGGTACACTGTCAGCGTTTCACTGCCGTATAAAAGCACAGACAGCACCATAGAGTTGTAGACCATCAGCTTCGTTCTAACGGTCAGTTTGTGGTAGCTCCACACAGATTTTTCCAGCTAGCTAAACCCATCAGAAGTCACAGATACGCGGATGCGCGGCTCGCTCATCTACCGCAGGTCGATTGATATTACGTTCGATGCTGTTTCCAACAGTCGTGGGCAACCTGGATTTGCAGCAGGCCCAGGAATTCCACTGCTAGTGAAGGATGGAAAAAACAATCTTGGTTGTGTTGATGATGAGCCCGAATTTGACCACTGTCGAAGCGAAAGCCCAAGTCATGTGCTGCAACTCGTCCGCACTGTGTGCAAACAACTCATAGTCGTCCGCAAACAGCAACATACGGATGGTTGTCTCACACACCATTGGTCTCCTTCCGAAAAGACGAATGTTCAGCAACCCACCAGCAATACAGTGTTCCACACAGACACCGTAATCGTTAGCAGTATCAAAAGCACAAGATCTCATTACATGGAGGTAAATATTAAACAGAGCAGGGGCTAAGACACAGTGTTGCTTCCCATCAGAAATAACAGCAGTCATCCGAGGTTTGTCCACACAGCTGCACCTTCGCCCGCATATCACTGTGCAGATATACAACTAAACTTACAAGCTTACTCGTACAACCAAAGTTAACCAACACCAGGCACAGTGCCTCACGGTCCGACCAAACAAATGTCTTGGTGAAGTCTATAGACAGCGAGTACAATGACTGGCGTCTCTCTGCCTTTCCCTTGTAACTGAGGAGCCCCGGCCCGATGGGAATCCACATTGCTCTTCCGCGACATTGGGTTTAACGACCTGTGACGAGGCGCTTGAGCAGGATTCGGACGATTACTTTATCCACACAACAGCAAGTTCATACCACGTTAATTCGTGCAGCATTGTTTGCGCCTTTGCCCTTGTACAATGGTAGCCCAAAGGCATCCTTCAGCTTGGCCGTCATTTCCTCTTCAATGCACGCGCGTTGCATCTATCAACGGGAGTCCTCCGTGTTTCAATACTTCAGGCGAGATCGCATTGGCACCGGCACACTTGAAGGCACTTTGCCGTTTCTTTGCATCTCACCCAGTGTCGGAGTGCCCGCAAGACACATCTTTATGTCTTGCTGCTGCAGCCTGGACAACATAGAGGAACTAACATTAAATCTGCGCCGATTCACGGCAAGTGAGTAATAAATGAATTCACGAAAACATATGCACAACTTGGTCTGCACCAACTTGTGATCAGTGCCAGACTCAGCTCCACGCAGTACACGTGTCATGCGCACTTCACGCTGGCGTACGATAACATAGTCGAGCAGGTGAGCGTAGTCTTAGGGATTACAAGCCTGCCTTGTAATATGTGGGCGGGGGTTAGGGTCTGCTACGGACCAGGCGACCCTCGCAGTATCTTCAACAAACGTGCGACTGCTGGTAGTTGCGTAGCAGCGAAACATCGGTACTGCGTACTGCTGAAGCCTTACCACTCCGTGGGTGCGTCCAAGTAGCTATGTAACTCGCATGCAGTGTAAACCGAGTGTTCGTGATCGTCAGGCCCTGAGTGGCACGGTGCTCAGTGGCTGTGCAAATACCATACAGATGGATTACGTCTATCCACACCGTAGCATCACGCCTAACGCGTGATTTGAAATCACCAAGTAAGTATAGTGGATCATTCCGTATCAAGAAGGATAACAGAGTGCAAAACTGATCTTTCCTGTTATCCGAACACATGATGGGACCAACATGATCATCAACATCATAATAATAATAATTATTATTATTATCATCAGTAAAGGTTAGCTGAGAGTGAGAAGCACACCTCAGCTAAAGTGCCGAAATAAAAAAGATGAGAGACTAAAAATAACACAAATTATACTACAAAAATCTGATGTTAAATATTATATTGTGCGTTTTACATGAGATCGGGATAGGAGAGGGAACCTAAAGGGAGGGGGATGGATAAAGAAACTCACAACACAAACGCCATTGGGGCCGGCTCTTCGTCATATCAGCAAGTGTGTCCAACCAAAGGTGTGCATCGTCCTTAGGACCCCAGCCAGGCAGTCGGGATGCACCAACCGACGCCGGTTTCGAAGTGAGGGTTTTCATTCCTCTCGACCAAGTCATAACTTGGCCTCCCCTCCTTCTCTTCCAATCGAGCCCCCGGCATGCAAACAATGCACGTCGCGGGAGTCAGTGTGCTGGTATGCGCAACATGTGGCCCAGCCATCGGAGCCTTGGGCGTGATATAATGGTGCTGAGCGGTTCAGTCGCTCTTCCTGCACCAAATACACGACGCCGAACAGATTCATTGCTCACGCGGTGCTCCAAGCAGACATGAGCTAAGCTGCGAAGGCAGCGATGATCGAATGTGACGAGCCTCTTTATGTCTGTCGACTCAATGGGCCAGGTATCACAACCATATAGGAGGGTTGAACGGACGGCTGCGTTATAAACTCTGCTCTTCTGGGCGAGAGTAATGTCGCGTCTGCGCCACAGGTGACGAAGATTAGAAAAAGCACCTCGAGCATTTGCTATACGGTTCGTACCCTCATCTTCGATCCCAGGGGCGCTAATATAGCTGCCCAGGTACTTGAATTCCTGAACGACTTCTAGCTGATCACCACAAAGCGTTAGTGCAGGGGTGGCTCCCTGCCAATTTTGAAGAGGGACTTTGCATTTCGATGGAGCAAAGCATAGCCCAAAATGATATACAGACAGTGCTAATCGGTCCAGTGCTGCTTGGCATGTTTGGGAACTGTCACAGATCAGGGCAATATCGTCCGCATACTCCAAGTCAAGAAGGATGGAAAGGCGTAAGAAGGGGGATAAGAAGACGGGAAGGCCTAAGCAGTAGCATCCAAACCTCTATCCACCCTGCTCGATGCAGCAGATAGGGCGCCGTTGAGTATACTCTACGACGGCCAGAGCATCAAGAAATCGTTAGAAGGTCCATTGTATTGCGTGGGCAGAATACTGTCAGGTTGCTCAGGCCTAGATAGAAACACGAGTAGGGTTCTTAATCAAAGCTTTTGGTTCAAAAATCTTGTCGCAAGTCAGCCGGGTTGTGGCACTAGACTACAAACAGCCCGTTTTATGGAGTAAGGAGTCACCCTCACTCCAACCCCCAACGTGGGTGACCAGGAGACTGAGATTGTCTGTGCTCTAGTCATTGACCAATCTGGTATGAGTGTCTCAGAAGGTGTAAAAAGCACCACCCAGCATAGCTCAATGGATCCCTTAGGCACACAAACCATCGCACTACGTTAAGGTCCACTTTCGTCGCGATAGACCATACGTGCTAACAAAAGATGCAAATTTACATCTTCCAAGTCATAGTCAAGTGCCCTCATTCGTGGACTGATACCAATCGGCTCTGCCAACAGGTGGCCAATCAGGCGTTCGAATAGTGTAACTCCGACTCCATATGCACGTTGTGCTGAGGTAGCGTTCGAACCCCAGTAAAAAGGTGTAACCAGCGCCAGTTTCATGTAGCTTGCCTTGGTCAGCTACCCGAGTCTCGCTGAGTGCGGTAATGACGATCCCGTAGCGCTCGTGTTCCATCGCGACCAGTGTAGTGCGTCGCTCAAGTCGCTCACTCGTATGCCGGTTCATTAGTGTGTGCACGTTCCAACACCCGTTGTTGAGTGCTGTGCGTGGAGGTATTCATTGCTGTGGCGGACAATCGTTCGTATAGTGACCTGACATGATTTAAGATCACTAGAAAATACAGAGAAATTGTACCGTGCGGGACTTCGTATGCTCTGGGCATTACGACGCAGTTTCTCCACATGGTCCGAAGAAACCGTCCCTCGTCTATTCACCTCGCTCATTAGACCAATCCTTGAATACGGTGCCCCAGCTTACTATCCGATAACCCAATGGGAAACTGAAAAACTGGAGAAAATACAGCATATCGCAACTAGAATGATACCAAGTCTACGAAAGCTTCCATATGAAAAACGTTGTGAAAAGCTCGGACTCTACACACTATCCTATCGCCGAGTAAGAATTGATCTAATTATGACCCATCGAATACTACACTTGAATCACTTCCCCATCCTGCGGCCAATATTTCACCTGCGAGAACTCTGTAACACCCGAGGACATCGTTACAAACCCAGGGTCCCCAGCATGAACAAAGTATCACATCAGCTTTGTATCGAACGAAGAATCGTAAACTTATGGAATACACTGCCAGAAGGATTAATAGAGGCCGATTCTGTGAAGTGTTTTAAAACCCGTATCGACGATTATTTTGGAAACCTGTGCTTTTGTGAAACGATGCACATACAGTGCCAAAAGAAGACATTGTATGTCCGGAAATAATAACGCTAGTACAAATTTCTAACCGAACACGGATAAACGATTAACGGACCAGACACAAGTAAATTTTGATTTTTCGTAATTCGATAGAGTTGTACAGAAACCTTTCTACTTGCTCTTAAATACAGTCTCGGTCTCAGTGTTGGAGGAAGTAGCAACTTAGTTGAAATAGGGACAGGGAGAGAATGTGCAGGGGAAGCAGGGAGGCGTCAGCCGTAGCAGGTTTTCGCCTATTCACTCCGGGGCTGAAAGATAAACTCGTTTAAAGAAATCGGAAGAGAGGTGATTGAGCTCCACAACTGCCGCGGAAATGAAGCCACTCTGACACCGTTGTTTCGATCACAGGCACGATGAGATCGTGAATTAGTCAACGCAGTTGGGGCAGCGAAATAGAGGAAAGGAGATCGTAATGGTCATAAATGACTGACAAACGCACTCATATACAAACCGACACAACGAGCGATAAAGGATGGGATGAGAAACACATCAGATGGCGACAAGGGACAGAGAAGCGATGTTCACGTACTTTGTAAGCATAACCCTGGTTGACGAGAAATCGTTGACGCTTCAGTGCATACTGCATTTCCATTGTGTCTTGTGAGACGAGAGAGTAGAAGAACGCGTTGTATGCCTCCACGTCTGTGCCTCGTTTCGCTCGAAGAATGCGACCCAGTCGTTGTGCCTCTTGTCGTCGGCTCCCACCATGCGCGCTAATTTGGATCAGCACGTTGGCCTCAGGTAAGTCAAATGAGTTGTCCGCCACCTTGGAGACAAAGATTGCCGGTACCTGGTGCATAGGAAGTGTAGATGCGTTGAGTGAGCAGAGTGGTAAACAGAAGGAAGTTAAAAATTCATGGATGACTTCGCTTGAAGTGACAAGAATAATCAGGCCGCGTTTATCGAAAACGACTAGCATGGTCAAAAAGCAGTTCAAATGTCAAATTCACCAACTTTGACAAATAACATCAACTTGTCGGTGACGAGTGAAGTTGGGGGTGTGCAACATTGACAACATCGAGACTTTAGCGCATTCAGAGACAGCACATATCACGTTTTTGCTATACCAGACGGTGAGAAGTAAAACGAAGTGTTTAAAAGGGGCAATAAGGCATTGCGATTACTCTACAGAAAGTCAAGGTTCAACAGTAAGTCTGATAACGCACAAATTGCATCGACAAAATAGCTTCAATATGACAAAGCGATAAATTAGATAACGTGTGATGCGCATCGAGTAACAGGAAATGAAGACAAACTGGTTTTTAGAAGGGACGTGACGCTCCAACTGCAACTGCCAATTTTGACTCCTTTTGCAAGAATCAGTTAAGTATCCCGGTTGACTTACGTTCGGATTGTGCTGGAAGTTCTGAAGAACCTGCATACGCTCCGCCTGGCTCGTTGGACCATACAAATACGGACGACCCATTTTTGTTGCATAATATTTCAGTGCAAACACGTTATCAGAGAACACTATGATCTTGTCGTTGCGTCGCTCATGGTAACGAATTAGAAATTCACAGGCGCGAAACTTGTTCGGATTCATTACGGCCAACAGTAGTTTTTTCATCGATTTCATCTGTGAAACAAATGAAGAAAAATTGTAATCAAAATTAAATCACATGTGAGCTGTTTGTGTGAGCAGCGAGCGAGTTATAGGAATGCAATTAAACGGGGTGTGGATGGGATTCCGTGTGACAAAACAGGTAGAGATCAAAAATATTTGGCGATATGCAACTTGAGCGCGAGTGGTAAACACGATTTACGCAAAAACCCAACAAGCTACAGTTCCGTCCATAAACACGCAGATCATTCGATTTACGGAAGCAGATACGTCAACACTCCGAAGAAGTCAAGTTCCAACGGACTTCCTTAAGGCACACAGGCGAGACGATTCGCGTAGCACCCGGACCAGTGTCCCAAGGATGGCGATTGCCACTCACGTCAACATAACAACGATGGAGCGGGATTATCCAGTGAGAACGACAACTGCAACATAAAAAGGTCGATTCAAAAGAAGGAAGTCCACTGCTGCGATATAGAAGCAAATGTTGGTAGCTCAGGTTGTTTAGTTGATTGGCTGATTGTTCGCTGAGCTCGGCAGGTTGACTGCAAACGTTTCGTCACCACTCGAGGTGACATCGTCAGTGCGAGTGTATTTAGCAGTGTGGCGCGTACGAGGCGTCGGTGAGTGTGAGTGATCGATCTCCTAGCCGCTACTCTGAGTTTGGATTGTTCGACGAGCACATGACCATAGAAATCGATCTCTGATTCTCACCTCGTAGTGTACGCGCGTGGGACTCTTCGCTTGTCGTCGTTTGATGCAGTAGTCTAGCGCTCTTTTCCGTTAGATTTCTTCTAGTAATTCGGTGATCTTTCATTCGTAATGCCGTATATATAGCATCTATTTCAACATGTCGGTTTATTGAGCTGTCGGTGGAATACCATGCCTCCAAGAATTCTCTAGCTTGCTTCGAATTTCCACGGGCTAGGATCTTAACGTTCTCTAGATCGAAGTGGTGGCCTTCTTGGTCTTCATGCATGGAAACTAATGAATGCGGGTCGTGTCTCCGTATGGCCATTCTGTGTTCGTTGATCCGTGTTGATAGTTTCCTTCCGGTTTGTCCGATGTAGTGTTTGTCACACTCTTTCGGACAAACCGGAAGGAAACTATCAACACGGATCAACGAACACAGAATGGCCATACGGAGACACGACCCGCATTCATTAGTTTCCATGCATGAAGACCAAGAAGGCCACCACTTCGATCTAGAGAACGTTAAGATCCTAGCCCGTGGAAATTCGAAGCAAGCTAGAGAATTCTTGGAGGCATGGTATTCCACCGACAGCTCAATAAACCGACATGTTGAAATAGATGCTATATATACGGCATTACGAATGAAAGATCACCGAATTACTAGAAGAAATCTAACGGAAAAGAGCGCTAGACTACTGCATCAAACGACGACAAGCGAAGAGTCCCACGCGCGTACACTACGAGGTGAGAATCAGAGATCGATTTCTATGGTCATGTGCTCGTCGAACAATCCAAACTCAGAGTAGCGGCTAGGAGATCGATCACTCACACTCACCGACGCCTCGTACGCGCCACACTGCTAAATACACTCGCACTGACGATGTCACCTCGAGTGGTGACGAAACGTTTGCAGTCAACCTGCCGAGCTCAGCGAAGTCCACTGCATTAACAGCATAAAACATCTACAGACCAGCGTGGGACTTTCAAATTTGGCCGTGCTCTATGATTCCTCCCTGTGGAATTTTCCAATACAGTCATTATTTTTAACTGCAACGTTCCTCTGTTTATTCGACACGCGTTTTGCGATGGCAGACTACACGCGCGATATTTTGAAATCGCTTGTGAACTGTGCCTTTTCCAACGGCACAAATTGAAAGAAATGTATAATGAGTGTGACAATTCTTTATGGGAACAACATGCTGGATGGGGCGACGCTCTTCGAAAGAAAAAAAACTAGGAGACCGGAGCGTGCTTGTATTGCTTAGCACCAACATCCGTTCGCTCCTGGGAAAAATAGATAAACTATCGTACCGCGTCTTTTCCAAACAATTTGCGCATTAGGCATCATTCGATTGCAAGAAACCTGGCTCCACGAAGAAGTGGATGATGCTGTCATATCGGTTGGAGAATTCATTTGCCATTGGGTTGACCGCCCTTGTACGTACCGAAAGAGAGGGGAAGGAGTCCTTATTGATACCACTCCAGCTTGGTGTATTGCAACAAAACGCAACTCTTGTCTGTTCTCACAATTCATGAACTGCTTGGTCTAATAATGCAAGCCAAGGTGTTTGAGTGCCCAGCGCTCACTAGTGTCGGTTAAAATCTGTATATCTCCCGCCTGTTGCAATCACGAAGCAGAGGATTTTTACGATGAATGTACAGTAGCCAAGATAGAATAGATCGACTGTTCTTTATGTATTTCCGCCGGAGATTTCAACAGATTTCATACCCCTCTTCTCATCACCATGAGGTTAAGGGGAACATCGTAAATCTACCCACCAGATTACATGTAACCTTGGACCTGGCATTTGTTAATAACATAAAGTGGTTCTCTGTAAGTGGTCAGGCTCGGATCGGCAGTTCCGATCACTCAGTAATCAAGATTTCTTTTGTAATCTATAGCAGAAGAAATCACCAATATATCAATCGCTGATATTATCGAAGATTCAGGTGGATGCAGTGCACTTCACAAAGTATCGACCGACTTCGTGGAATGGTTGCATCCACAGAATTTAGTATATTCTTTGACGCTGACGTTTCCAAGTATTGTGACAAGTTAACTAATTAACTTTTGTTTTTATATCCACTGTCTTTGGGAAACTCTCTACGTCCGCGCTGCCAGATACTTCTTCCCTTAAATGGCTGCGTCGAAATAGGGAGAAAGCGTCTAAAGAAAACGACGGCACCTCAGTGAGGTGCTACGCCGTCTTAACCAAGTGTACATGCAGTCTAATCTTGGGAACTGCAGCTGTCGCGAAGTTTGAAGGATGCAAAAGCAGCTTAATGGAGTTGTCTGAAGTGCGCCCTGTTTCGATGCGTATAGAAATTGAACCAGGAGTTCTACGATATCCCCAAAGCCTTCCATTTCCCAATTTCTGGTGACTGTGAACTCATTACCCGCCGTCAACATTGTCACGGTGAATACCATATTAAAACACTTACGTTCCAATAAAGCTAGCGGTCCGGATAGATTACCTCCGATCGCACTGAGAGAATATGTTGATTTGTTGGAAATGCCTCTTGCGTTTATATACATAATGTGTATGCAGCAAAACAAAGCGCTGTGACTTCTTAGTATCATAACAGTGCCAAAAAAGGGTTCAAGGAATATCAACCAATCGCTTGTATTTCTGTTGCCCTGAAGGTTCTGGAGAAAATCAACCTGAGAATGATGCTGTCCCAAACTCGCTCTAATGACCCCTTCAATTCGTTTGCCATAGATACAGTGGCCAACCTCGTACATTCTGTAATGTTATCATTTGACAGCAGAAAGAAATCGACCCAGGAGTGATTTTTTGATTATGGCGATGTATTCTGCTGTGTAAACCGTGAAACGCAGCCAACAGATCTACTCCCTTCACCATCCATTTACTGAGGGATTAGTTTGCTGGACGCACTCAGATTACTCGACTCAGCAGCAGATATTCATCCCACTAATCACCAACACCGAAGTTCCTCAAGTAGCAATTCTGTCGCCATTGCTCTCTTCTATTTATGCCGACTCAAGGACATCCCCCAAAGAAGTAACTCTACTAAAACATGCTGACGACATTGTGCTGGGTATCAAACATCGAACCGTCGAGTCCTCACACAGGTTGCAAGATCATCTGATCGACCTCAAAATGGGGTTCAAAGCAAGCAGTCTGTCTCTGTTTTCTTTCCCTACACAATGGAGCAAGCTATGAGCAGTTACCTACACAGTGCCCTAAGCTGTTTATTGACGGCGATATATCACACTTGCTACACCAGTGAAGCACCTAGGTGCGGAGCTGAACAATGATTTATCCCGGACTCTTTATGTTAATGAAAGTTTCACAAAAGTCCGAAACTGTCTTTCTACGCCTCTCGTCTAAAAGCCTTCTCTGTCCCTCGCGAATTAATCATTGGATTTATCACTGTCTGTGTTGTTCTGCACTGGACGTACTGCTCGCCTGTGATTCCCCCGGTCTTCTGCGGAAGCATGTTAAATTAAAGGGAAAGTCTTTACAGCACTTGTCCGATGCCTATTTTTGTCGACGCACTTCTGCCTTCATACATCAATTCTGGTAAGAAACTGGTATCTAAGATACTGACTGATGCAAGTCCTCTGTTTCATAACGCTTTATCTGAATGTCAACTTCATCTACTAGGCAGAAGTATAAACTGCTGAGATATGTTCGCATACATGCCTACCGCTCGTCGATTAAACCTTACCTTTCGCGTCTGTTTGCGTGACCCCAACTTTGTCGTTCTAGAGCTAACCAGGCGATTCATAGTTTCTGTCCATATTTTTATTCAAGCCGCTTTTAGGGTACTGTTTTTTACGTTGCTAAGACCGTGTGTGTTGTAGTTGAATATTCACCCGCCACACAGGTGTATAAAGCACCTTTTGGCTTGACTCGAACTACCAACGACTAGGTTGAAATTCAACAAACAGCGGGGGTATGGTGCACACATGACCGATTGTGTAGACAATGTGCCCCAACAAGCAATATAGTCATGACCAAAGACAAATGAGGATTAAAAGAAACGAAGGAAGGAGCTAAGGTAGAGACACAGAGGTGTTAGTAGAATTTGGTCCGCTACAAAATGATACAGTGGATTGGGTAATTAGAGACGGGGCCAGTGGATGGAAGCGCACACAGAGTTAGAGGGTGAGAGAACGTTGGAAAGATTATTTTGTCGACCCTGAAGAAAAAAACCGGTAGGCCAACTTGCAAGTGTGTACTTTGCAAGCTGTACAGTGAGATTATGACAGGTGACGGATGATTTGTCTGGTGGTCTGGTTGATGAAACCCTACAAACCACTGGTCGATGCGAGTCAACCGCGAAATCCGGTTCCTAGTCACGAGTTACAAATAGTTTCTACTTGACTGAGTTGGTGAGATTCCTCACTGTATAGACTGAAGTGTTACTGAATACTGATTTGTTTCATGTCTGGTTTCAATAGATGGGAAGAGTGGACTTCGCAGTCCGAAAATAAACCAGTCGAAAAATGTCAGAAAAGCAGCAGCAGCCTATCACACATTCAAAATGATCCTGATCACGTGGTAGATGGAGAGAGAGAGAGAAATGCAGCGGAATGAGGCCGAGATTCATAAAAGATTCCCATAAACTGCCATCATCCATACGCCGCAGTGTTGGTGGTGTAAAATAATATGCAAAAAGGCCGACAGGGTGAAGGTGGAAAAAGAAGCCCCAAATTACTAAAGAGAAACGCCACGAAAAGAAAACAATTAAGTAAGCCGACGAGACCGAAGCGAAAAGTTGCACTGACATTAACGAGGAGTATGGAAGGAAAGGTGGTGGTTTAGTTATAGTTTAGTGAACCAAAATGGAAGCGCATTTACTTTGAGTGCCAAAGCAATCAGTCAATACAGTGACTAACAAAGACTGAAGGAAAAATGAGCCGGCCGAAGTAGGAGTAGAATTTCAGCAGGGGCATAAAAAGATTAGTGATTCCAAGTAGAATTTGTCAGAGGTCTAGTAATCTATTCCAAGCTTAGTTCATTAGAGCCGATATGAATACTCAGACAACGGACCAATAGAGGTACTAGGTTAGACGCTCGACAATTGTGCGCGTAAACATAGTTCTAAGACAGCGAAACATTAGTCGAAGCGTGTAGGATAACAGAAGACGGTGAAACCACACTCGCATAAGTCTGGAAGCGAAATATACAATATCACACCGATGAAGAGGAGTGAAAATTTAACAACGACTCCATACTGATCGGTCAACATGGACCGCATGGACGCAAGTAAACATCACTCACATTCAGATATTCGCGATAAAATTCCGGCGTCACGGGACACCACACCTCGGCGCACTGCACGCGGGCGATGAAACCACGCATTTGCAACTCCAACCAGTTCGCTTCGTATAACTTTGGACCGATGAGGAAATTCAGATCGGTGATCTTGTCGTCCTCCCGTACCAGAGTGGCTGTGAGACCCAGCTTGCAGTGAGCCTGGACCAAGGTCAACACGCGACGAAACATCTTAGCCGGGATGGTATGCACCTATGAAGTGAAGGAGATGCGAGGAGATAGGAAAAGGCTGAAGAAATGATAGAGTAAACGGAATTGGTTATGACTGAACTAACAATCGAGATGTTGTTCCTTCTTCCATTTTAATATTTGCGAAGGGAAAGTCTAGCACGAAATCAGAAAGAACACGTCTCGAAGCCCAGGACCGGAAGGGATTAAAACAGTGCAGCAACAGAATAGCCTCATTCGGTTCGGTGTTTTTGACGCTCGGCTGCATGGACCAAAGGTTAATAGTAGGTTATCACGAAATCAATCGAATGGTTTTGCAGTCCATTCCGACTTTTTCTGGAAGCTTCTGGAAGATTGTTTTATATGGGCATACACGGGACACGATGACCATTTATCCTACATTCTGACAATGGTTGCGGTATTGGCTAATCATCAACATGTTGTTCGCGGATGCTTATTGTACGAGTACCTAGAAGGGCGCAAAGCAATGGAGGCTTCAATTGTTCATTTGTTCTCCGAGCTTGGCGCTTTTCTCGCAAACGTTTCACCACCATGCGAGGTGGCATCCTCAGTGCAGTGATATGTACCGTACAAGCTTACTAAGTGAATCCTCGCCCCATGATCGACCAAATTCTGAACTTTAACAGCAACCACCCGAAATGCCATAAAGTAAGCAGTGTGCTGACACTGTTTCGCAGAGTGCAAACACACTGTAGTACCACAGAAGCAAAGCAAAAGGAAGAAAAACACCTACTTAAATGTTTCCAACTCAACGGATACCCACGAAGCTTCATCCGAAGGTGTCTGTATCACAACAACGTCAACATACAGCCTACAACAACAAAAACAGCGGCAGCAGCGGCAACAACAAACACAACAACAACAACAACAACAACAACAACAACAACAACGGAGAAACGGGTTGTTCTGCCTTATATGAAGAACATATCGGAAATGGCAGCCAGACTATTCAAACAGCATCATCTCATCGTAGCACACAAACCAACTGCCACGTTGAGAAAAACCCTTTCAAAACCAAAAGAAAAACTACGGGCACATGAACAACGCAATGTGGTATACAAAATACCTTGCCGAGATTGCGAAAGGGATTATGTTGGCCAAACGGGAAGAAAATTGATAACAAGGATACAAGAACATAAGAGAGCCTGTATAAAGCATTATGCATCGTCGCTAGTTTCAATGCATGTAGATGAAGAAGGACATAGCTTCGATTGGAGCAAAGCAGAAATGCTGGCACGGGGTGAAACAAGAAAAGAAAGAGAATTCTTGGAAGCTTGGTTCTCAACGAAACATTCAATCAACATGCGCGTGGACATCGATTTAATATACGAACCACTACGACAGAAAGAAATAAAGAACCTTTTGTCACGCGGTTTGAGGCAGAACAACTCGGGCGCCGACTTTAACCTTGGGGAAGTGGGTAGAGGTCACGGGACCTAAAATCGACACTGCCACGTTCAAAGTCACCTGCAGGTCGATCATGGAGGGAGGATTCACTTAGTAAGTTTGTACGCTACATATCACTGCACTGAGGATGCCACCTCGCATGGTGGTGAAACGTTTGCGAGAAAAGCGCCAAGCTCGGAGAACAAATGAACAATTGATTCATCAAACCGAGCTACCGGTATTTCGAAACATTTTAAACAATCGAGGCTTGTTGAGATATGCATGGCGTACTAGGCACGGATGCGCCGCGATAAAGTATAGTGGCATTTTGGCTTCGTCGATTAAAAGTAGGCAAGTACGATTTGTCCAACATCGGAGGTCAAGGACGTAAGCCGGTGGACATTGACAGCAGCATCCAGGACGACCTAAGGGCGGATCCGAGTCAAAGTGTGCGTGAAGTTTCGATACAACTTGGTCTTTCAAAAAGCACCGTTCATCGCCATTCGCGTCAATCCGGAAGGGTCACAAGATTCGGACAAGTTATACCACATGAACTGAGTGATGAGCAACTTACATTGCTCACCCGAGGACGCAAAATCATAGATGGCTGAACGACATCGCTACTGGAGACGAGAAGTGGGTGCTCCATGTCAACCATAGCAGGAAGCGTCAGTGGATCGCAGCAGATGAAACGCAAGTACAAGTCCCGAAAGGCGAACTGCACGGCAGAAAGGTGCTGCTGTCGGTATGGTGGGATCGTCGCAGAGTCATCTACTGGAAATGCTACTTGACAACTCCAGTGTTACTGTCGATGTCTACTGTCAACAACAAAAGATGGTCGACGAACACCGAAAAAAGCGATCCGAATTATTCTCCTGCATGACAACGCACGTCCTCATGTGGCAATGACGCATTTCAAGGATCAGCAGTTCGGTATCGAAACTCGTATGCATCCAGCATATAGCCCGGGCCTTCCTCCTACTGATTACCACCTATTCCGCTCGCTGCAAAATCACATGAAGGACAAGAGATTCCATGCCCACTACTCTGACAGCCAGCCCAGCTCGTTCTATGAGAGATGCATCGATAATTTGCCTGAGCGTAGGCAGTACGTCGTCGATAACAATGGATACTACGCTGATGAAATATTGTTGCTTGTTTGAGATAAATATTGAATGAAAAAGTGTGCTAAAAGAATTCGATTGATTTCGGGACACCCTAACACAAACAAATGAACGATGGCACGAATAAAAAGGCCGTGTCCTCAAAGTGTGATAACATGGGAATAGGGAAAGAGGAGCAGGTAGCTGTCCCCGGGCGACAATTCGGGACATGGCGTCTGGAGAAACATCTGAAATCAGTATCACTCTAAGGTCACCTATGGGAGTTCACAAGTTAATTTGATAAATCGGCCGAAGTGATTTTTCAGGTTGACTTGTAACCAATGGGCCAATGTATTTGCGCGGCGACGACTACAGTTGTTCGTGAGGAATCATTACCATCAGTGGGAAATGATTGGTGGTGTAGTTACCAAGGATTTCAATAGGACGGACCCGGGAATGTGATTAAGGAGTGACAGAAAGCAATTATTACATATCAAAACATAGACACGTCCTCCAGTAGCACTAAGCAGTTGGACCTGATGAAGACTACATGTCACGCAGCGGACAATTTCAATGATGAGCACCCCGTCACTTACTTATCAAACAATGCATGGTTGGCGGCATCCGGTTTCGGATTTGCCTGTCACTGTGGCCAGCCACAGGACGCCTGCGCCTACAGAGGGACCATGGGTGGCTTGCGCTGCACCACCCACAGCTCCAACCACACACCCCATATCCAGTGTAAACCCGAAGGAATAAGACCGGGAGGCATGTGGATGGGAGCCAAGTTTCATCAACGGAGCCGGCCCACACTCCTTCACAGGCAAACACAAGCACGCTGTATTTGGGGAATCAAATGCACACAAGGCGGTGGCTGGACCGTAGTCCGCTCCACACTGAGTGCATGGAACCGCTCTTTGAGCCTAGAACGGCCACAACGACAGTGGACCCCGTCCCCTCCAGCAACGATCAACTGTCTCCTGGAGCCAGTATGAACGAGGTGGTGGGTAATAGACAGGTAGGCACCTTGTCAACATGCACATCAAGCGGAGCCACACCGGGGATATCAAGCAACAGCCATTCACTTGAAACGACAAGCTTAAATAAAATAAATCCAATAATGCATACAGATACGGTGCCATAACTCTTCCCTAAATTACCATATGAAGTAAGTTGGTTAGCAACGAATCTGCGATAAGTAAGCAATGTTCACAAGTTACTTAAAAATGCTACAAACACAACAAAATTACCGGAGGTAAGCACAATTAGCGTAAGCAACATGGCCAGTTAATAGAACATTATTCAGGTAGACAGAACAAACCAAATAAAGTGGAATGAAATTTATCCAGCTTAAAAAGACCTAGTTTAAGTGTAAGTTGGTTTAGCCCGACTGCGGTGAAGAAGCATCAAGAATGCAACAACAGCATACCACCTGCTTAAAATGACGAACATCATCGACCCGGGTTTCATAACCTCCGTAGCACGACGCTCATCATCATTAAATAAGAAATTTCTGAGCAACACGATCGGCTTCTAACGCTATCTATACATTGAAATTATACAGCAAAAGGGTAGATAATTGCACACAGTAACGTTTCCCAGGTCAGTCAGTATATTCTGAGGTTCAAATTCAGATGTGACTAGAGGCTAGGGTTCTTAAATACCTCGAGAAAATCAACGCGTTTTCACATGTGCAAACGCTACGTGCCGTTAAATTTAGGCCGGAAAACCTGATTATCAAATGATCGAAACGTAAATCGTTCCTGTTAGTAAAGGAAAAAGGCAGTTAACTATCAAGTGTTCGATACGCTTGAGTTGAACATACATACACACATTTGAACGTCTTCTGCTCTCGTTTCATTCCTATTCTACCGAACCAGACTGCTGACATCTATCGCAAAATCACATGAAAAATGTTGACAGAAAAACCGAAGCTCTGAGACCGTCAGGCGTTAGACCCGTTTCGTCTGGGAAAACATTTTTTCCCGCGTAATAGCAAAAACGGTGCTAATCCAAGGGCGCCTTGACAGGAGAAAACTTGTGGTTTCGTGACCGGCAGGCAAACAGACAGGATACGAAGCACTTACGTTACGCGATAAAACACAAAGGAGAATATTCAGTGCTTGACAGAGACGGTTAACAACTTCCTACTCAACAGCAGCATGGTAACGTCCCGTATGCGTAGACTCAGTTGGATTAGAGGTAACATAATACACACTTATGACATAAAATGAATAATTCACCAAGATCGTTGGAAATGCACTCCAAACGGGGTGAACGAAGACGGATAGGTACATTTCGGTAATTTAGCACGCATCAAATGAGAATGACAGAGTATGGGCCGCTTGCGATGCGTAAAAATGAATCCTTAAAAAAGAATTGTTCTGGAAGCATAACCAGGTCGATATCGGCAAAAAACGAAAATAAAAAGCGCAGGACAAAGTTTGCGAGCGTCAACCGCATAGCTGATGCACAGCTGATACATGACAGAACCGAAAACATGTAAGATGTTATTAACATTCAAGTGGAAAATCGATAATGTTGAAAGCACAGACTGAAAGCGAAGTGTTAAAAGTAGCATACACGTAGCAGAAAGAAGTCCTAACCTGTGAGCAAAAGAACGAAGAAGGTGACATAGAGGAGTGCGGATGTTTGTTGACATTAGAGTGTCAGCTCAATCCTTGGATGGTTTCCCGCAATCCACGATAACATCATCATCATCATCATCAACAGCAGTACATCAGCCATTTGAACTGATGCTTCGCTGCCATACAACCATGAGGACCTATGAAATAAAGTATAAGAAAAGGGAGAGAAGGGGAACTTACCTGAAAACCTTAATGCCCTAAGCAAACATTCAGGGTCAAGGCGCCTACACCTTGTGTAGACAACATACCGTCACAAACAGCTGGCTATCGTGCAAAGATAAGGCGGCATCGGCGAGACAGCTTCCTTGCGGCTTTCACTGCCACGCGTCATAATCAGCCATTACCCCGCAGATAACTCAGCACCAAACACACTTTAAACAGACAATCCGATTAGGAGACGGCAGCAGACGCGCCACTGGTGTCTACTGCGAGCCATGTCCTGTAAAGTCTCGAGCCAAGCACAAGGTGAGTCACGTGGACTCCAACCCGGAAGGCGAGACGGACCAACGGCACCCAGTTTGGTCGTCAATGACTTCATTTCCCGCTGCCAAGTCAACTTCTGTCCACCTCGAGCCTTGCGCCATCCGACACCTGGTAGACTGAACAAGGCCCTCCTAGGTAAGCGGTGACCAGGCATGCGTAGCACATGCCCGAGCCAACGCAACTGATTCAGTGCTATCTGTTGTTCTAGGGAGCTAGCATGATCATCACCACCTAGTACTCGCCTACGCACATCATCGTTAAGGACACGCTGGTGCCATCCGACACCAGCAATGCTTCGCAAACAACGATGATCAAAGACTTGAAGGCGCCTCAGATCTTCAGACCGAAGGGGCCAAGTTTCACTACCATAGAGCAGAACGGCCCTCACTGTGGCCTTGTATACACGGCCTTTCAGACGGAGGGAAACTCCCTTCTGTCGCCAAAGATGACGCAGGTTCAAGAAGGCAGTTCTAGCCTTTGCAATGCGTGAGCTCACGTCAGTTTCTATGCGCCCATCATTGCTGATGCAGCTGCCAAGATAAGTGAATTGATCAACCACCTCGAGTTCCTCGTTAGCAAGCGTCAAGGGGTCATCGAGTGGCTGGTGGTCCTGCAGCAACACTTTGCACTTTGAAGGTGCGAAGTGCATACCAAATAATGGGACCACTCTGGATAGGCTATTCAGGGTTGATTGTGCCGCCTCAACATTGTCGAAAAGCAAGACGATATCGTCCGCATAATCTAGATCAACTAACCGTTCACCAGGCAGCACTTCAACACCTACATCGTGAGATTCCGCAAGGAAACACTCCATGATAGAATCCACGACGAAATTGAACAAAAACGGGGAAATCGGCAAACCCTGTCGAACGCCACTTGTAGTCGAAAAGCTATCCGATAGGGCACCATAGACCCTGACGCGGCCTCTAGTGTACGAGTATAGAGCACGAAGGATGTTCACATATTTCGAGGGAACACCTTTCCGCGCAAGTATTTCGAACAGAATCGATCGATCGACTGAATCGAACGCACTCTTGAAATCGAGGAACACAGCTATTGTCGGTCTGTGGTATGCGTGACGCTGCTCTAGCACCTGCCGCAAAGTAAATATATGGTCTATACAGCCAAGTCCTGGGCGAAAACCGGCCTGCTCTTCTCTAATCCGAGATTCCCGTTCCGCAGTGAGGCGACGAACGATAATCGAGGCCAGTAATTTTGTCACAACTGGCGTTAGGCTAATACCCCTGTGGTTCGCACAGTCTGTGCGACTGCCCTTCTTGTATATTGCCACTATAATCGATTCGCTCCAATTAGCCGGCACACTCTCTTCGTACCAGATATGTTCGAATAGGGAGGTCAGTACTTTGCAGAGGACCTCACCTCCATCCTTAAATAGTGCAGGTGGGAGGGAATCCGGGCCAGCGGCACGAAAACGATTGAGGGCTGTGATCGCGTTTCGGACCTCGGCCTCCGACGGAGGCTCTAAACTAACCGTCCATGGCTCGTCCTGCATCACCTGAGTAGGAAGAGGTCCGGGAGCAGGGGGACAGCTGAACTGATGTTCAAAGTGCTCAGCCCAACGAGCCATACGGCGCTCCTTATTGTGTATCAGCGCACCCGCGCTGTCCCTGATTGTCTCACTGACGCCTGGTTTTCTCGGACCAGTGGTGCGGATTAGCTGGAAGAGCTTCCGGTAATTGCCTACTGCTCCTGCCTCCTCCATTTCTTGAGCCCGACTGGTCCACCAGGCTTCCTTGTCAGCACGTAGGCTCCGCTTTAGTTCACGCCTAATAGCCCGTCTGGTCACAATGTGTTCAGAACCAGCCGGGAGGTGCCTTCTAGCTTCCAAAAGGTTCACGGACCTCTCGGATATCCAGTGACTGGTGCGATGACGACTGATAGTGCCACAAGCAGATGCTCCTGCGTCGTGCATAGTGGCCGAGATCCTATTCCACTGAAGTTCAGTATCATTAGGACAAGACAGCGAGAGTTCGCTATGCAGTGCTTCTTGATAGGCTTGCCTGACAGAGGGCTGGGACAATTTCTCCGTTGCCAATCGGGGGAGACGCTTTGTGCGCCTTCCGGTAAAGTTCATGGAGAAACGACAGCGCACCAAGGCATGGTCAGAGTCGACACAGGTACTCCAGTACGAGCGGCAATCCAGAATGGAACCGCGCCACCTGTAACTTATGGCTATGTGGTCAATTTGGGTCCATCGCTGACCAGCTACAGGTGGACGCCAAATGGCACTTCGGCGCCCACTGTGTCTACAAGCAGTGCTACTAAGAAACAACTGGTGCTCCGCACACAGTTGCAGCAGACGCTCGCCGTTGTCAGTCCGTTCGGCGTTAAGTCCATACTTACCACCCAGCTGAGCTTCTGAAGAGCTCAGACGCCCTACTTTTGCGTTCATATCCCCTGCAAGTATTATAATATCTGAACTAGTAGTACTGCGTAGCAGCGTGTTCAGTTCGTGATAGAAAGTGTCCTTGACTGCATTAGAACTGCAGTCCGTGGGAGCATAAGCAGAAATCACAAACAAACAGCGTTTTGTTTTACTTCGCGAATTCACCTTAGCTGATGTCCTCAAACGGGCTGCACATAAACGGCTGTTCACCGGAATCCAATCAACCAACAATGACTCAGCCTTGGAGCTGAGAATGATACCTACACCAGCTTGACCCGTGAGTGCCGCATCGGCGTCTCCGGATGCGTGCAACCAATAACGAGAGGATAAGCCGGGTGCAGTCAATTCAATAACCCCGTTAGGGTCATTAATCCTAGTTTCGGACACACAACACACATCAACACCCAGTGTGTCCAAGATGCGTGCGAGTGCAGCCTGCTGACCTGTTTGTCTTAGAGTGCGGACGTTGAATGTCGCCATGGAAACGGAACAGCGTGGCCTTATAAGGAACTTTTGCCGATAGGCGTCCGATAGGTGCTGTGGGATGGTGGCTGCAGATGGTTCTACTCCAGTAGCACTTCGGTTGCTGTCAATTAAGCTGGGAATTATAGAAGGAAGGTTAGTAATGGGGGCCGGGATGGGAGTAAGAGAAAAAGGTGGAAAAGAAAGAAGGGGGCGCCAGCAGTAGCATGCTTTCGCTTATCCGCCCTGCTGTATGCAGCAGATAAGGCGACCCTTGATAATCTGCGCGACGGCCGATGCAGGATGACGTTTATGTTTGAAGAAAATGCCATGGTTGTATGTGGGGTTGGATACTGCCAGGGCGCCCAGACCTAGACAGGAGAACGATTAGGGTCCTCATTCAAAGCCTTTGGCTCAAAAGCCTGTCCGCAAGGCAGTGGGGTGGCAGTGATTTAGTTTTACAGAAATGGACGCCATCCCATTTCAAACCCCCAACCTGGAGGACCAGGAGACTGAGTTTGTCTGACCTCTCACCATTGACCAACCAGGTAGGAGTAGCTCTCAAGATGCTCGGAGGCATCACCCAGTATAGCTCAATGGGTCAATGAGGTACGCAAACCGTCGCACCACGTTAAGGTCCAGTCTCGTTGCGACGGATCCACGACAACAAGCGGATCATCATCAAACATCTAAAGGCCGTTTGAGGGCTATCTCCAGTCTACATGTAAAATAAGCCGATAGTGGTTTAAGATTGGGATTTTAATACTTGCAACATATTTGCATTACGACAATTGGTTACAATTCGGACCACGATTTATTTTGGACGAAATCCCATTTAACTTAATCACTGGGATCGCATCCGAAGAGGATTTCCTGTGCCGTTCGCTTCAAACACCTCACTCCATGACTGTCTACAGTGTTCAAATAGAAGAGAGCTTGAGTAGGGAGTGGAACGCTGGATCCTTGCTCAACAAGCCATTCCACTATTAAAAGATCCGATATGGATCCAGTAAAACACATGTAGCAGATAAATGAGGTATAGATCACAATACTCACCTCGTCCAAAATCATTAGGCCCCATTCTTGTCCCCTGATCCATTCCATCATACGATCCGCTTCGTATGAACGTTTCGTTGAATGCGCAATCATTGTGTACGTGCTGATGCAGACGCTTGCGTTCGTGCCCGGACGATCCTTCGCATCGCTGGTGAAACGAAGAATTTGGCTGTCCTCAGCAGTGGACCAAAGGCGGAATTGGGAGCGCCACTGTTCCACCGCTACTCCGCTGGTGCACAGCACAAGGGTGAGCTTGCGGATGGTACATGCGGCGGTCACTCCAACCTGATAGAACGCACAGGAGAAGCGAAAATTATGAGACTTCGTGCCTGAGGTGTAACAACCACTGAAGTCTGGAAATCGGTCGGCGGGGAAGAAAGATAGTTGGATTATCGCAAAACTATGTCTGTGCGTACACAAACGTATCACAATTTGAGTTGAATGAAGTTGCTCTCTGAACAAATTCTGTACCGCACGCACTAGTGCAGATCTTTGCACCAGACATTTGTCGCCAAAGGCAAACACACAAAGCGAACAAGCTGTTAATAGGACAGGAAAAACGGGATAATAAGAAATGTTGCTTTTGCTTTCACTTCAGAGAGAACGACTCGTGGATACTGCACTAAGGAATGAAAAAACATGTGCTGAGCGTGACCGTTGGACTAACAACACGCACAGACGCATTAAGCAAAGTGTAACAGAAAACGACGTATAGTTTAGGTAGGGATTGGTGCGGCCAAATCGAAAAAAACCCTTTCGAGCACTCGATACATGACGAACTACCTGTCCCCCAAGGGACAAATATTCGTGGGAGTAAGGATAGAAAATGAATGCATCAATCTTCGGACAGAGATATTTCGTGAAGCCTGATTAATGGATACGAGAACTCTGAAAGTGGCGCGACAATGATATTCCCTGTTAACTAGAAGGGGTGATTTAGTTGCAGTGTTAGAAGAAGATAAACGTATGCATTAAGTGCCAGTACACGAAGAGATTTCAATCCAACAATGCTATACAACTGTACACATTGGTCACGAAATCGTCCGTAGATTCACTTGTAACGAGGAAGTCCAAATGTGCCTCTTGAGCACGAGATGCGGGTTGAGCAGAAACCCTTGAAAAGTTGGTTGCAAAGGGAATTGGACAGCATTAGAACACTAGGTGGTTGTCGGGTTGCAACCAACACACAATTGATTTCATGAAAATCGCATGTGCAGGCAGCTTCTTTGAGGTCGCACTTAAAAGAAACTTGATAGGTAATCGATAGTAACATGGTCATTAAAAGCAACAGTAAAACCCATCGTCGATGAGTCACAAAGTACCGACCCTCATAGCGACAGCACAGCCATGCTTCAAAAATAAATGGTGACCGGGACAATACCACCAATGAATCCATCCCGATATTGAATGATCAAAAAAAAGAAAAACCGTACAGATAGGAAGAATGAAAAATAGACAATGATAGGTTACAAAGGTGCAAGGTGGGAGTAAATGGGTGAATATTTGGTGGCATTCAAGGAAATGATGTAAAGGTCCATATCCAGAAAGATGCACACGTGGAGAATAGAAAAGCATGTCAAAAACCGGAGTGGAGGGAAATGGTTGTTTCAAATGGAGCTGACGGTTTTCGTAACGTTTAGGTGAATGGCTAAGCGTAAACTATCAATACCGCCATAGTGATGATAAGCATACTTTTGATCTAGGCGCTGTAACATATAGTGGCGGTAGGGGTGGCAAAGGTTAACATGTAGATTGCGTCCGAAAATTTCGGTCTATTGCTGCATGAAGTGGATGACACGCTCACGGAGAAACCACGCAAGCTGGAACGAAGGAACTAGTCACATACCACACAGCTCTCAGTGCAAGGAGAAGTCTACCAGATGGAATTATGTGTAATTAATGAACCTAAAAGGTTACTTCTGGTATGCGTCGTTTACCGAGGTCACGAAAATTAGTGAACAATGAAACAATAGATTTTTCAAGGGTAAAGAAGTACATGCTTAAGAAGTCCCGCAGGTAAACAGTGGAACCAGTAGGTGAATGAAGCAAGAAGACGTCAGTGCGTATCGCTAGATTAAGCGTAGGTTTCTCGTGTGTATACAGTTTGGTTATGTTACGCCGTGCCATAATAAGTTAGGTTGCAATCGATTAGTGTGGCAGCAAAGAATACGGAACAGTACCAAAATTGACAAAAACCAATGGAGAAAACGTTCTAGTAGCACTCCAACTGGCTATGGTGAGTAGGCAATTTCAAAAGGTTGCCTATTAGTGAGGAAATGTGGCTGAGTTTCAATAATGGACGACGAGTGGTGGGATTCTTTGAGGAATTGGTACATCAGTATAATACTATTCGTCACACGACGGTATAAACAGAATATAGTAGTAATTAGCTATACAATAGTGATATGAATAACGAAAACAATGGAATAAAGGTGCACAATGAGTAGAAACATCACAAAGTGAGAAAGAGACAAAGAAAAGTTTCCTTCTTTTTTCACAACCGGTTCTGTCTATTTGTCAGTTTAGTCATTAAGGTTTTCATAAGTAGAATTACTGCGCAAATTCATACAAAGCTTGTATTATCCCCAATTCCACGTCATGTACTCAAGAGTCTCCAACTAGCGATGAAGATTTTTAACTCCCAGCCCGGAAGACGCAGGGATTGATAACAACTAGACTGGAAGTAAGCGCCCTGATGTTTTGTCGACATGTGGTAGACGGACCAACGTGAGATTTATATAATGCGGCCTTGTGCAAAAGAATAGAACGCGCTGTGGTGAACAATCGCACAGCATGTGTAAGAGGTGATCCAGCCATCTCAGTTGGCGCAGCGGTATTAGCTTGTTGTGAGGAAGGTCTGTTTTGCCTAAAACGCAAAGTCTAACATCGTTGTTGGAAACGTGGTGTTCCCACAATATACGAGTTATCCTCTGGCGAAATCTGACGCAAGCCATGTACACGGATCGACCACTTACGTACAACAGAGCTGAGAGCACACAGGCATTGTAGACCAATGCTCTTGACTGAGAGTGAGAGGTCACGACGACGCCACAGATTAGCGAACGGTGATCGAGCTTCGACAATACGGAGAGAAATATCTCTTTCAACTGTGCCATCAGACGAGATGCAGCTCCCAAGGTAGATTAAGTTACCCATATGTTCGAGTTGCGCACCTTCAAGAATCCGCTTGGGGGGCAGGTGGATTGCAATCCTTGCATTTTGATTGGACAAAAGTCATGCCACACTTGGTATCTTCCATCATCAAGCGGTTTAGAATGACATGTGGGTCGTCACCGAGCAAGGCAATATCATCAGTCAGACGAAGATACTGTCCGCAGAAAACTTCTAGGAAATTCAGTCTGATTTGATAAGGGGGATGGAGTAAGTCCTTCGTTGCGTGTTCTCAAGATCAAGATCCCCGAGTTCATGTTACTTGCAAAGAGTGCAAGAGCTGAGTGCAGTACTCCACATGGTGTCCCACGTGAGCGTTGGGCAGTTGCGAAAAGATTGTAGGATCAAACCGGTCAAAAACCATGCGTAAGAGGCTCAAATGCTCACTAGCCTTCCTCGTTGCTTTTCGGCCTGTCTTGAGCGACCGAGACCATTATGTACAAGCACTTGGGGACCAATTCGATGGGAAGCTCACTGCGAAAGATGGGCTGCTAGCCGATACTCATACGCAAAACTTTACATTTGGTAATTTTAAACTGGAACATGTTCTGAACTAACCACTCATGAGCCCTTTTGCTGATTCGTAGTCTAGAGGTAACGAGCTTGTCTCGTAATCTTGCGGCGTGGATTCGAGCCTGCGTAAGAGCAGGGCGACCCTCGCAGTATCCTTAGCCCACGTGCGACCGGTGATGGTTGCGCGGCAGCGAAGCGTCGGTACTGCGTACCGGCATACTGCCGATACCCGCCTTTACTCATGAGCCCTATCGAACGTCTTACATGCTATGTGGTCGTCTACCGTCTTGATAGCTCGCCAAATCTGGAGGTCATCTGCAAAGTTGAAAGTTTGAGATGATCACACCCACGAAGTAGACCAGGAACACCAGGAATAGCCGTGGTCATAGGAACGGACCTAGTGGGAATTCACAATGTACTTCTAATGGGTCAAACAACGTGCTCCGAGCTCTCACAGTAGATGATGGTGGTGAAGTAAGAATGCACATGTTTAGGCAAGCATGGAATGGCCAACCCAATAAATATGAAGTTTCATAGTACTAATGAGTAGGAGGATATTTTAATAGTAACTGTAATGTTTTCGTCCCAGCTGCTCACAAGCTACATAGCACAGCCTAGTCCGGAAAAGCACCAGACGCATTTCGCCCTATTGGGGCTCGTCAGTGGTGCGCATTCCCTCGGTCCCCTACTGGGGATCGAACCCATGACCGCTAGAGGCAGATGCCAACTAGCCAGCAGCTTAAGCCACTGAACCATGGGGAACATCGGCTAGGCTACAAGATTTGCAAGCTAACTGGGATATAGCACAACCTATCTTCCACTGCCACGCAGGTTACTACCTTAGCAGATGACAGTGGCTAGCCTCCGAAGGTCATGACTTTCTCTCACTAGACGCTACGTCCATAGCAGTTGAAACTAGGAGAGGCTACATGGGAGGAGTTTGTTAAAAATGTGGTGATTTGGATGGTTAAATGTCTACCAAAAATCAATGTACACAGCATCACGTCAGTCCCCAGGATTGGGAAATGCTGTACAGGTGGCACGGACTAAAAGAAGGTTCGTATTGCATGAGCGATTTGGGTGGAAGATGGGCTGCTCCGGCACGATAATATTGCAATGTGTTTTGTCGTTCCCCGAGCTAGGCATTTTCAATGCAGACATTTCGCAGCGAAGCTAGGCACCATCATCAGCGCGATTTTCAGGACCTTGTTCGCACAACCACTGGCAGGGATTCACGAGGCTCTGCGAATCAGGTGTCGAAAGCCCACAGTTGATGTCGCCTAGCTTGGCAACGAAATGTATGCAACTACAATGCCCAGCTCGGGAAACAACACAACACTTTCAAGCACACCTCAAGTCACTGTTATTCACAATTTCTCAATGCTGCATCTTGCTAGATACATAATGAATGCCTCTGCAATGAAAGATTCCATGAATTTGGAAAGCATCGGAGGGAAAGATGTTGGGTAGTAGTTTGCCGGTTCAACACGATTGCAACCATTGTAAATGAGTGACTTCCAAGATTTTACGCGGTGGGAATTTCATGTCATCGAGACAAGTTGAGAAAACAGAAACAATAATTCAACCGAGATCCTGGCACT